CCTGCACACCCCCTACTGGGGATTGAGCCTGCAACCCAGGCATGTGCCCTTGACTGGAATCAAACCTGGGACCCTTCAGTCTGCAGGCCAATGCTCTATCCACTGAGCCAAACCAGCTAGGGCAACACTTGGTATTATTTTATATTAGTTTCAGGTGTACGGTATAGTGGTTAGACATTTATATAATTTACAAAGTGATCTCCCTGGTAAGTCTAGTACCCACCTGGTACCATACACAGTTATTACAATGTTCTTGGCTGTATTTCCTATGCAGTACTTTACATCCCTGTGACTATTCAGCAGTTACCAATTTGTACTTCTTAAACCCTTCACCCTTTTCACCTAAACCCCAACCCCCCTCCCATCTGGTAACCATCAGTTTGTTCTCTGTATCTATGAGTCTGTTTTTGTTTTGTGTATTATATTCTTTAGATTCCATATATAAGTGAAATCACATGTGTTTGTCTGACTTATTTCACTTAGCATTATATCCTCTAGGTCAATCTCACAAATGGTCAGATTTTATTCTTTTTTATGGCTGAGTAACATTCATTTGTATATATGTACCATATCTTTATCTAATTATCTGTTGCACCCTATGAGCACTTTGGTTTGCTAATGTAAATAATGCTGCAATGAGCATAGGGTGCATATTTCTTTTAAAATTAGCGTTTTGGGGTTTTGGGGATGCCTTTTATTTCTTTTTCTTGTCTGATTGCTATGACTAGGACTTCTAATACTATGTTGAATAAAAATGGTGAAAGTGGACATTTTTTTCTTGTTTCTGATCTTAAGGTAAAAGCTTTTAGCTTTTCTCATTGAGTATGATGTTAGCTGTAGGTTTGTCATATATGGCTTTTTTTATGTTGAGGTAGATTTCCTCTGTTCCTTCATGGCTGAGAGTTTTTATCATAAATGAATACTGGATTTTGTCAAATGCTTTTTCTGCTTCTATTGATATAATCATGTGCTTTTTATCTTTCATTTTGTTTATGGGGAGTATCATGTTAATTGATTTGTAGATATTGAACCAAACTTGCATCCCATGAATAAATCTCACATGATCATGATGTATGATCTTTTAAATATATTGCTGGATTTGGTTTGCTAATATTTTGTTGGGGATTTTTACATCTATGTTCACCAGGGATATTGGCCTATCATTTTCTTTTTTTGTAATTCTAGAGGCCTGGTGCATGAATTCGTGCACCAATGGGGTCCCTTGGCCTGGCCTGCAAGATCGGGCTGAAACCGGCCCTCTGACATCCCCTGAGGAGGTCCTGAATTGCGAGAGGGTGCAGGCCAGGCCAAGGGACCCCACCGGTGCACAATCGGGGCCAGGGAGGGACTGCAGGAGGGCTCCAGGGCGTGTCTGGCCCGTCTCACTCAGTCCTGATTGGCCGGACCCCAGCAGCAAGCTAACCTACCGGTCGGAGCATCTGCCCCCGGTGGTCAGTGCACATCATAGCGAGCGGTTGAGCAGCCTTAGCATATCATTAGCATATACGCTTTGATTGGTTGAATGGCCAACCAGATGACTGGACACTTAGCATATTAGGCTTTTATTATATAGGATCTTTGTCTGATTTTGCAATCAGGGTAATGGTGACCTCATAAAATGATCTTGGGAGCTTTCCCTTCACTTGAATTGTTTTTCAGTAGTTTGAGAAGAATAGATGTTAATTCATCTTTGAGTGTTTGGTAAATTTCACCTGTGAAGGCATCTGGTCCAGGACTTTTGTTTGTTGGAGTTTTTTGATTACTGATTTGATTTCCTTGGTAGTCATCAGTCTGTTCAGATTTTCTGTTTCTTCTTGATTCAGTCTTGGAAGATTGTATGTTTCTAAGAATTTACCCATTTCTTCCAGATTGTCCAATTTATTGATATATACTTATTTGTATTTTTTCTTATAATCTTTTTTATTTCTGTGGTGTCAATTATCCCCTTTAATTTCTGATTTATTTATTTGAGACCTCTTTTTTTTTTTTCTTGATGAGTCTGAAAACCAAATGTATTCTGTCCTTTGTTCTAAAGACATTTACTGAGCACTGTTCCTTATTTGGAAGAACAAGAATCAAAATAAAGCAAGAGTTAAAATTACCTCCAGTTTGCACTGTGTGAGTGGATAGTATGAGTAGTAGCATATACAATAAAGATAGTGGTTCCTCCTGGATTAATATTTAGTTTACAGAATATCTCTTAAAATCAGAATGGCACATGAAGGTCCTTAAAGACCTAAGATTAAAGTGTACTTTTTGATAAATTTTATAAGATAGGAGTGGCATAGAAATATTTTCCTCACTGTTCAGTTGTACAATAGAGGCCATTTAGTTTCTACCTTGTAAAAGTACCTCCTCTGATAGCCACCTATGCAGAGTGCAGTTCTCTGCACTCTTGGGCCATGCAGCTGATCTGAATAGAATATGTAAACACAGCAACATAGAGATCCTGGGCCACTCAGTAGATGTCTAAAGTCATTCAAATGCAAACACATTTTTCATAGGGAAAAAACTCAGACTCTCACTTTGAGCCTGTTGAGTACTCATTTTGAGTTAAAATAGTTTTGTTGTCAGGGTCTGGTCTTTTTGCAGGTGAGAGGGAGGAAGAAAGGCTGATCCACTCAGGTTTGGTGATGCAGGTGACACTGGCTGAATGGGAGAAGTGTGAACAAAAGAGCCGTGAT